AGACTAGAGAGAAGGCAACTAGTCATCACCACCCACCGCCAACTCTTGGGCTACTCTTTTACCAACGAATAGTGGGATTGACCGTCACATTATAACGCCCCCACGGCTGAAAGGGCGAGCATGTTTGGTGTGACGGGGATTCGAACCCGCGACCCTCAGATTGTGAGTCGAGTGCCTTAACCACCTAGCCATGACGAAGGAAAGAGTACCTAATTTTTAAATATTTGAACTTAATATAACAACGAGTGATTTTTGAGCTACGCTTAAACTACCCAATGTATATATATATATAATATGTCCCCTGATATTCGAGATTGAATAACATGGATTTATTTGTTCGTTGTTAAGTATAAAGCTACACAATGGGCTATCTATGCTGTACCAAACTCGGATATCGAAGCCTAATTTTTAGCATGAGCCATTGGGGGCAGGATGGGGGTGATATAAAATAAAATGGACCCAGTTATATTTAGTCACAGAGATAAAAGAACGCTTAGATTATCTGTAATTTCTTGAACTTGAAATGTAATACGTATATGATATGCCAGATATATGGCTAACGGTACTTACCTCTTCCCCCACGTTTTCTTCCTCTATTTTTCCTACGACCACCTCGACCACATATTTTGGTAACTGTTTCAGTTGCTTCACATAATTTCGGATCTCCCTGTATAAGCGATTTGATTTTCGTCTTCTGATTGGTTACTGGATCGCATTCGCTCCATTCAGCTGACCGGTCATAACGACATTCTGCAAAATCATGTCTTAAATTAGTATTTAGTTACGCGCTTCTTAAAATGAAAAATTTCATGAAATTCACTTTCTATTAAGGCAATATGGTCATTCGATTTATATTGATCTATGGCGATAAGATTTCCATCTGATTAGGCTTACCTATGCATTTTAAGGGTTAGAAGATGAAATATCTCATCAAATTTATTTTGCATCAAGGCAATATGGTCATTCGATTTATACTGACCTATGGCGATGAGCTTTCCAATTGGTTAGGTTTACTCATGCATTATAAGGATTAGAAAAAGAAATATCTCATCAAGTTTACTGTTTATCAAGACAATGTATTCATTTGACTTATGTTGACCTATGGCGAAGAGATTTCCAATTGGTTAGATTTACTCATGCTCTGTAAGGCATTGTAATACTACATGGAAATCATTGCATGATTGATTAGAAATGAATTAAACGACGTACGTTTAAGACACTTTTTCGTAATTACTCTTGTCTGTTCACATGAAGTGTCACTTCCTGGTTTCAGTGTGTCTAGTCTAGTGCGTGTGTTTGCAGCTGTGTCACATGCTGACCACTCTCCCTTCTGATAACGGCACACTGAAAAGGCAACAAACCGTCACATTTATGTACTTCAAGGTTGAATGTGGCACAAAATATCTCTACACTTTGAAAAAATATAACAGAGACAAACGGTGTTTCATTTAACAATTCAAATCCTAAAATACCTTAATTTCTAAATACCATCTTGAAATATAAAATCTGGTATATATATTTTCTAAAGATTTAATAGAATAACTAGGCTATTGCTGCTTCGTAAGGGAAGTTTGTTGAATTATTCAAAGTAACAGTGGTAAGTGATTTTAAAACTATAAACATTTGAACAAAAGGCTGTGACAATGCTGTGATTTGTTTGTTACAAGAAATTCGTTTTTTAACTATATGCTGGAAACACACCGATAACTGTGCGTTGTATACAAATATTATCTTACGTGGTCTGTAAACGAGTAATTGAAATAATGATATCGGCACTAAAATATTATAATATTCATTTATTTTATCCCGACACCGCATTGTCTTACAGCGCATTATCTTACATCTGTCAAAATAAATGTATTCCACAAATTGATATCAGATAACCAACGTTTTTATTACCCTTTTTGCAGTTTCTTGTAACTATTTTGGTCTGCTCACAAGATGGATCCCCACGCTTTAAGGTAAGAGTACGTTGCTGGGTATTAGTAGCAACATTGCAGTCTTCCCAAGGGCTCTTTCTGTACTTACATGTTCCTGAAAAGACAAAGAAAGAAAAAATGCATTCTGAATTGTTGAAATGTGAAAACACAAACTTAGGCTGTAAAGAATTATTTTTATCAAATCTTGTAGAAATTCGGTACCTTTTTCTTCTTCTGGTGACTAATAGGTTTACGAATAATAAAGCGTCTTCACTACAAAGCACTTTTCTTTTTTTTTAAAGAATTTTGGTAACTTATTTTTTGAGAACCTTTTGAAATAAAAGATAACAATGTAAACATTGTTTTTACAGTACATAAAACTGATTTGAATGGGTGAACAATGTAGTTGGTTGTCAGTTCATTGATAAGCAGAAATCTACACAATGGGCTGTATGTGCTCTTTCCATCGTAGAAAACCAATTTCTAGCGTTTTTAGCCCTCATTGGTACCGCTGAGCCACCTGGGAGCGAACGTTGGAAAATATTTTGTACAAAGTTCATTTTTCTCGAAGTGTCAGGTGTACTGTTCTTTAACGAAAGAAAACAAACTATGATACAAGAATGTTTATTTGTTTGTTAAATGTGTACAAAGCTACTCGAGGAATGTCTGCGCATAAGTTTGAAGTTCTAGACTAGACTCTAGAGGGAGGGCAGCTATTTAACACAACCCACCACCAACTCTTGTCAGATTGAATAGTGGGATTTGACCATCACTCATATAACGCACCCACGACCTAACATTGCCAAGCACGATTGTTTTTCTTGTCGGCGGTAACGGGCACGAACCACGGAACATAAGATAATCAGTCCAATATGTAAAACACTGGGTTGGGGTACGAGAATAATGCCTTAATAAGCAAAACATGATCAGATTTTAAAACCAACCGCAAAAAAAAAGTTATAATGAAGGTAACGAACATAAACATAACATTCTCTATAATACGTGTTATTCATTTTGTAGGATTTGATGTAAAGATCCTATTCACCTTAAATCCCCTATTTAAGCATCTTAAATGTAATAACTTATGCACCCTAGTAATAAACGTCGCTAGTTGCTTTTGGTATACCACTTATAAGTTATATTACCAAATATATATTTTATGTAATTGTGATCAGTTATTCAATATTACGTGTTGAATTTTAAAATTATATTCTATGGATAACCTATACTATTCTGGAAACATGATAATGAAACCCGTGTCAGAAAAATGATAGTTAAGCCTCGTATACGATCAAGAAATAATTTGTTAACGATAAAGAATGTAAACTTAAGCTTATATTCTTACGTAAAAAATTACTTCCAATTATAAAATTTTATAAAAATTATGGGTACAACATTAATGTTTTAAGTTTGCTTTCTTGTACAAACACCCCTTCTCCCTCTGTGGCTTAGCGGTAAGTCTCTGTAATTATAACAGTAAAAATCGGATTTCCAAACCCGTGGTGTAGCTTTATGCTTAATAACAAACGAACAAACAAACGTAAAATCATATCTGAGGCAATAATGTCAACCATAACCTTACCAGAATACCTTCCCGAGCGTGGTGATCTTGGTACACGATAGACGACTTCCTCTGCTGAGTCCTCAGAGAGTTCCTCAGAGGTTATAGACGAAACCATTATGCCCACAAAAGCAGTTAAAAACCAGAATAAAATCCTTTTCTCCATTTTCTACAACGAATGAAAAATGAAATATTAATTTTAGAACTTATTGCTAAAACGGCTGACACCACTAGAAAATAGAGTCAATAAGAATAACCTAACTCATGCTAATAAATCAAAGCAAACGCTATTTGTTTTCGAAAGTTAACATATCGCTAACCCAATTTAAAGTAACGTTAAGCACAAAACTTAACTCTGCAAAAAAAAAAGTAAAACTAACAAATAGTACACTGGATTAAAGTCGGAATATCGTTAAAAATATATGGGAAATCAATACATGAAAGCTACTTTTGTTAGATAAACATAGATTACCGTTTCTTTTCGTGATCCTGTTGCGTTTTCAGTCTTTCTTCTCTTAGATTCAGCTTCTTATGATCAACTTCACCAATTATAATCATTTGACATCACATTCTCACACATATAATGTATGGCTAACACAACAGTCACGTGGTTTTAAGGCTCGATTGTCCTAGCCCAGAGTGACGTTAGTATGATTATTTGAAGGACACATAAAAACATTCCATTCCCATTCGGCTGATGATAAAAGCTCATAGATGATTTACTGACTGAATAGGTTACGTCATTTTATACAAGGAAGTTTACTGAATGCTATTGTATAAGGCTATTTAGTTCTATATTTTCTTTCAAACATAATATGTTTGTTTGTATGTGAAATGTCATTTGTGAAACCGCTGTTGTTATACGTTGTTTGTTTCTCAAACTATATAAGCTTTGGCAAAAAAAAAAAGTTGTAATAAACAAATATTTTGTACCCTAGTTTCTTATAGTTTGTTTGTGTATTATTTTGTAAATGTTCCTAAGTTCCATTTCTGAACCAGGAAGTCTATTGTGAGTCACGTGTCAAATTTAGCCCTATGTGTTATTTTCTGTAACAGAGGCATATCTGATTTCCTGTGAAATAATTATACTGCTGACCAACATATCTTCATGGAACAAGACTAGTTTCCAACTGCCATATGTGGTGGGGATTTTATTGAATTCTTATAATTCTACGCGTGACTTGCGATAGCAGGTTTGATGCTCTTGAAAACTTCATATTTAAATTTGAAAGAAGTAAGATTTGTCTATGAAGTGCTCTGTTTTGTCTGTAAATATTTGTTCTTCGATTTGTTAAACTTTCATTAAATCTTCTAGGTTTGTGTTTAATTTAATCTTGATCTAATCACTGGTTCAGTGAATTTGTATACAGTAAATTCGACCATTCATTTCAGTTTTCATGTATTCAGTTTCTCTTATATTTTCTTATCCATGCCATTTTTGTTTTATTCGTCTGTAATAACAGAGTCCAGTCTCTTTTATTGTACTTTTGGCAAGTTATGCGAGATTTAATCCTCCTTGGTTCTCTTGTGGTCCGAGAATACTACGAAATGACGTAATGTTGGAGTTGTTTGAAACAGATTGAAGCGCCAAACATAAAATCTTTAGCGACATCTGTATTTCCGTGATTATTTGTCATGTAAATGGGTTTAATAACAAAGATGTAAGTTATTGAATAAGTTGTTAGAAATTACTGCTTTCACTTGCAGCTAATGTTTATGTCTAGTTACTCTGGGCAGAGAGTGATTTTTAAATAATCTTGTCGTTTTATAATTAAGTTGTTATTTTTAAGTTACGGAAGAACAAGCCTAAGGTTATTATACTTGTTTTTGACACCAGGGAAAACAATGGTTCCCCAGAAAAACTGTTGTGAGGGATCTGGGTAATTTTAAATTCTACAAACGAGCGTGCATTGCTTTAATAATTTAAATTCTCTAGACTAGTCCTAATAATTTTATATCATCGAAACAAGCAGTCAATTGTCATTTAAAAAAAATCCACTTGAAAGCCCGGTACACAAAAGTTTGTGGGAAAGTACAAGTACACCCGTCATCGTATGACGATGTAGTATCACTCTAATTACAGCACAATGACCATATATATACTAGCAAATTAAATGTTGAACGTCAAGTAACAGTAATTTAAAGAAAATACTAATGTAAGCGTTTATATGTAATTATTCCAGACTATAGTGATATATATATATATATTAATTTTCTGAAGTAAAATTCAGATTTTTCGTTGCATATTTTATAAACTTTCTCTCTACTTCTATTACAAGGCCGAAAATGACCTAATGGTTAGCTTGCTGGATTATGAATCCGAGGATCCACGGTTCGCGTCCTTTGTAATAAAAGTGCATTCTACGTACTATTGCGGCCGTGGGTGAATTACTATATGATAAGAGTAGCTCAAATGTAGGCAGTGGATGCTGTTTACATAACTGCATTTCATCTAGTCTATCAGTTTAAAATTAGGGACGGTTATATGCAGAAAGCCCTTGTGTAAATTTGCGAGAGTTTTCGAAACAAACAATCGTTTGTTTGTTTTGAATTTCGCGCAAAGCTACACGAAGGCT